TTAACATGCCATCGCACCAATCTCCAGCAAATTTCGGATGTCTGTCACAGTCTTGGGAGGCGAGTTCTTTTTTCCATTTTTTCCGCAATCTTTTCTACGGGAACTGCAACAAGTTTTTCAAAGTTTTATAGAATTTCTCATTTTCATTTTGATCGTTTTTTTTTTCAATTACAGTCACCAATGTTTGTCGGTTCGCCTCATGTTTGGAGAGAATGGAAAAATGTGATGAGGTCATTTGAAGAATTAGTAGAACAATATGATGCCGAAGCGCTTCAATTAGACGAATCTTCCCTGGCTAGCCTTGAGGTAACGTAATTAACCAACCAAATTGGTTTTCAACATTGAAACAATATAGATTTTTTAAAATGGGATTTTAGGCGAATATCACTAGATCTCTATGTATCGTAATCGCTTGTAAACCGCTCCTGGCTCGATCGCTGATGAGTCCTTGGTTACGAGTAGTAGGACTATCCCAACCGAATATCCAGTATCTGGAATCGACTGGTGTTATCGATCTCAATGTGCTTTTTACCAAAGTCGAGAAAGACGTAAGCTACTTTCTGATCTTTTATAATACAGGAAAGTGAAGAACCTCCAGCGAACCGAAGGCAAACTCATTGTTGATCGCCATCCGAATGACTAAGTTCTTACTAGACTATAGACTTTTTTCGAAATCGCTCACAATATTGTCTGAAAGTTGCGATTCAGTCTTTAAATAATGCCGTGTCTTACCTTTTATTCCTTGCCGCACTGGAAGACTCTGAAGATAGCTGATTTTGTGGTGTAAAAAAAACACGATCAGCATGCGCTTGCGATTTGTTCGCATTTTTAATAGTTTTTTTCTTCTTTTACGAGACTAATGACACATTGAAATGCTATAAATTATTTCCGTAAAAAAGGCAATTCTACAATTATGAGAGCGTAGCAATAAAATGCTGAAGTCTAGTCATAGAAAGTAGGAAGGGATGTTGATTCTTTTATATCAAAATAAACATCTCAAGAGTTGGAAAAAAAACGTTTCCAGAAAAATTCTTGCCTGCATTAAAGCTTAGGTTTTTGAATTTCTCATCATGGGATTTGAAACTTGTTTATGTGAAACATTGCTTCCACCCTCTATAGTTTTACATTATGCACGGAGTACGTGAACAGCTCATGTCAATTTAAAAGAACCTTTCTTCCTTGAGAATCCAACTTAAAAGCATAAAAGCTCGAGAATTTTCTCTGATTAAAAAAATTGTTTAGATTTGAAAATGCTTGCCAGGTCTCGTTCTTCTTAGG